CCATGGAGCGCGGCCGGCGCGCTGCCCCGCGGAGGGGCGGCCGGCGCGGGGCTCGCAGCTTCGACACCTTCGCGGCGGAGGCGGAGACCGCGCTGAGAGGTGCGGGAGTGTGTCGCGGCCGCTGGGCCGCGCCGAGCGGGACCGCGGGTCCTGCCCTGGGTCCTGCCGGGCCGCGGGTCCTGCCCTGGGTCCTGCCGAGGCGGGCCGGGCCGGGCGGCCGCCGGGCAGTAATGCGCGCCTGCTGTTTTCAGCTTGCCTGGAGGGCGAGGGGGCCGCCCCGGGGGCGAAATTCCCGTGCCCTCTTGCCATGTGGGAGCTCGGACACTGCGATCCCAAGAAATGCACCGGGAGGAAACTGGCCCGAAAAGGGTTGCTCCGAACCCTGCGCCTCCGCCAGAGATTCCCGGGCCTCGTCCTCAGTCCTCTGGCTACCGAGTACGTCTCTCCAGCTGACAGGCAAGTCCCCGGTGAGGCCCGTGCACAGGTGATCTCCCTGCCTGTTGGCAAAGCCCGTGGAGGTGCAGGCTGTGGGGAAGCGCACTTGGTTCAAATGCTGTAATGATGGTATATTAGGGTGAACATTTTAACCACTGATCCATGGCCACAACTGTGCTGCGGAATAAATTTGACCTTCCTGTTACACTACATTGATGCATGAACATGAGAAATGGAGCTGTTTTATTAAATCATGTTAATATTTTTACACAGCTGCTATCAGGTGAAAACAGCATCTATAGATCCCAATGAGAAATCAAAGTATGTGGTTTGTAGGTTAATTTGTTCAGAATCATGGGCCTACAGCTACTGCATCTTTTAGGATTCCATATTCAAGTTCTTTGGCTAGGCAACACAATGCATTAACTACAAAATGTACTTGGGGGAAACACTAAGAATTTTCTTCAGATGGGCCTGCAGAATTTTTATAAAGATGTATTTACTCAGAGAAAAGATTAGTCTTTAGAAGCTGGTGGAGAACCTAAATCTGAACTTTGGTGTACTTTTAAGAATGCGAATGTTACTATTAACCAGACTCTTCTGTCACATTTTTTAAACCTAGAATTTTTCACTTTCAGTTTGAAATGTACGGATAAACCTTCTTTGCCACATGTGTGTTCAGACAAAAAGCATGTTATTATTCTTTCTCATTGCATCTGTATTTTAGATCATTGTAAAATGCATGCTTTTTGATTGACAAAAGGGGGGGGTTGTATGCAAATTTGTTGCCAGTATAAAGCGGCAATTGTAGTTCCCACTAACTTATCAATACAATGATAACAGTTTTTCAAATACAGTGATGTTTCTTTTTTTTAGGCATGTCATTGCTCAGAGTGGAATGGCAGTCATAGATTGCTCATGGGCCAAATTAGAAGAAACTCCCTTTAAGAGAATGAGAGGAGGTCATCTACGGCTGCTGCCTTACTTGGTGGCTGCAAATCCTGTAAACTATGGTCGGCCATGCAAGCTGTCCTGCGTGGAAGCTTTTGCTGCAGCTTTTTGCATTGTCGGTAGGCTGTAATATGTCTGATGTGAAATATGTTACCACCAATTCTTACATCCTTAATAAATCAGAAGAGATGATCTGCGATAGACTAAACTGTAATGCGGTCCCACTGGTCATCACTTTGTTGAGTTTGGAATCAGATTGCCTAGCTTTCTTCGAAGTGCTTGTATCTGGTAGCATCGAGGTATCTCTGGGGCGTTCATGTCAGTTACTATACAGGACACATAAACTGATGATCCTGGTTTTGTCAGGATGGCACTTAATGTTAGAAAAACTGTTAAAAAAAAAAAAAAAGCCAGAAAAGACAGAGCATGAATCCTTAAGCAACTTTGTCTTAATGAGAGATAACAGCTGTCTGTTAATAGGGTGGATTCTAGTTAAGAACAAAAGAAATTGCTCCCTCTTGTGATGTTTTGCAAACTCATCACAGAATTTTCTTGACAATTGAAGAGACATGCTCTACTATACTGCAGACAAATCTTATCTTCTGAAAATACCATATGTACAATTGCTGTCTTGCTGAAGGACTGTGGGAGCTAGACTTTGAATCATTCATTACCTGTACAAAATATTTTTATATAACACTCACTAAAAGACTATGAATTTTTCTTGGATTCAGTTAAGTATTTCAAGTTAAACTGAAATTTGAAAATATTTTTAATCTTTTTAAAAGTCTGAGTCCCCGAACACTGAAAAATGCTGGCAAACATCTATCATAGTGATACATAGGTATGTACTGTGAGTGAAATCTTACAATGAAAAAGAAAACTGATCATTTATCTTCTGTTTTAGGATTCCCAGACCTAGCCACCATTCTTCTAAGGAAATTTAAATGGGGTAAGGCATTTATTGACTTGAACAAAAATCTCTTGGAAAAGTATGCAGCCTGTCATTGCCAGGAAGAAGTGCTGAGAGTTGAAAAGGACTTTTTAGCTAGTGTCCAAGAAACAAAAGATGAAGAAATAGGTAAGAAAAACCACAGACACACCACACACACCCTTTTCCTAACTAAATTCCTTACAATCTTTTCCTTTAATCTCATGAAAATATTGGCAAGGTAGAAGAGCTTTGTTGAGATGTGTTGTTCTGTCTCTATACTGTGTATTCTTCTAAGCAAGTTTGCCTATTTTTTTAACTCAAAAAGATGAAAACGACTAAAGTAATTTAATGCATATATTAATGTATTCACAGCTGAACTGTGGAGCAGCTACCCTGATTAAATTAAGGATATTGGAGAACTAAGGAGTAAAAAGAAAATATGATGCTTCCTCATTTTATCCACAGATGTTAAAAGCAGAGTATGAGTAAAAAGGCTAGTAATTCAGGAGGACTGTAAGAGAAATATAGGCATACAGTCTGACAGCAAGGTAGTTGCACATAAACCTAAGAAAGACCTTTAATGGATACATTTATATAGTCCCTAATCAGGACATTTAAAATCAGACCTATAAAGATAATGAAAATAGCTTATAATACGTACAGTAGTTTATTCCCAGATTCTTCCAGTAACTTATTGGTATCCCAGTATTTCAGGCTATATTCACAGGTGAGTGCTTGGTCTCATTCAAGACAGCATAAAAAAAAGCCACATCAAGTGATCGAGAACATATGAGGAGAGGTGCTCCTCATTAATGTTTTCTTTTCACAGTGGTTAAGTCCCATAAAAATAGGCCAGGGGTTCACACTGTAAGATGGTAGACAGCCTTTAGTTTCACTGAACTTTGATGTCTTTGCCGTGACATGCTAGGCTGAATGAAATCCTCCTCCTGTTTGCTGGAAGCCTAACTACTGTTACATTAAACTGAAGACAGTTCTTGAGGGGCAACGCTACTATGCCAAACAAAGCACGCTTCCCCCCACAATCGTATGTATTATTTTCTGGATGGACTGTAGTACCAAAGCTGTCATGCCTTGTTTGACTTTTCTGAGGTAACAGTTCTCCCCAGCTGTGTAAGTCAAAGTAAATCTAGCCCTACCCTTACTGAGCAAGAGCTAAGCCTGGACAGCTATACTTCACTTCTCAGTAGAGATGAACTAACTAGACAGCCCTTTTAGAACTAAATCATTCTGAGAACATCCATGTTTTCTTACCAAAAGCCTTAGAAACCTATGTGTACAGTCTGACTACCCCTAAAGAGCTACTGAACCCCTTGGGGGGGGGGAGGGGCACAAAAAGCATGGAAAAGAGTGAAAAGACTAGAATGGGGGGCAGGACTTGGTAGTTGTTTCTCACCTCCCCTGGCTTCTGACCAAGTGACTACAGTAAACTTTACAGAAAGCTGAACCGGATTTCCTATGCCTTCCCCTCCATGCCAACAATCTTCTCTTAAAATGAAAATTAAGGCAGACCATTAAAATATGCCTTCTTCATCAATGGGTATGTTTTTTTCCTTCTTTTTCCAGATCCATTTGATGTTGAATCAGGAGAAGAATTTTCTAATCCCAACAGACCAATCAATTCCCCACGGTAATGAATTTAATTTAAATACTATTTTTCCTATTATAAGTTGTTTTGCATTTATAATCCTGAAAAATGTTTCCAGACAAGCACAAAGTAATGAAGAATCTGAGGAAGACAGCGTGAGCACTCCAGATGATGCCACTGAAAGCAGTGATGAGAGCAGTCCAGAAGATCATGGTACTGTAAAGTTGCTGCAACAACAGCCAATAAATCAACTATATGAAAAGTAAAAAAAAAAAATCAAAAAAACCCAAACCACAGTAAAACCCACAACAAACAAACAAAAAAAACCCCTACAATCCCGAAGAGTTGTAACATCCTGTATAAAGAAATTTTCTTGTGAACAGTTAACAGTGTGGCTTATTCACCTGTAATTTGATGCCTAGCAAATTCCTTCCTTTAGGTGAACCTCAGGCGATAGGTGGACTTATAGGTCTATTTGTTATGCACATAAAGGCTTTAGGTTATTTAATTTTTAGATAATTGTTTATGGCATGCTGATTATTATGTAAAGAGCCTGAAGCTTAGTTACAAGTTAAAACTGTATTCTAATCAATGTGTCTGGAAAGTGGTTTATAGGGATTATTTTTACCTAATAGTACATTAAGTAAACCCTTCTAACTTCTGGGCTATATTTCAACTGGAAAACATGACTAAGTTACCACCCTCTTCAGAGTGCCTACCACATAAAGAGCCTCTGACTTTCTGCAGGCCTGAGCCTGCCATATGTATTTCAACTACTTCATCTAGTTTAGGGTAAACTGAATACCTAAGCTTAAAAGGAAAAAAATGCTTCCTGGAACTGTTTTAACATCTCAGTATGTCTTTTCAGTAACTTTACTTTTTTTTTTTTTTTAAATTTACTCTGATCAATAGTCCTAAGCAACATACAATGTTTTGTTGTGACTTTATATTCACAACTGTACCACAAAGTTTCAGGTAACAGGTTCAGCAGTGCTATCTGCCTGCATTCTCATTACTTGAAGCAGCACTCCACCAAGTCAGAAATACACATTGTCCAGCCCTTAAGGATCTGAGTCGGAGACTCATCAGCACTAGTATCTTAGTTCACTTTTTTCCATATGCCTGCCAGCTTGTGTAGTGAAAATGCACCTGTTAGCAGTTGTCTTCTGTACATTTAACTAGAATGCTCTACTGTTTCCAGCACCCAAGTAGAACTTATTTAAACCTAAACTTCAGCAACCCTTCAGGAGAATTGGAGATACTGAGGACAGTTCATAGTGTTACCTTCATATATAGAAGTTCTTCAAGTCACAGCAAGATTTTCACCTCTTAACCCTCATCTACTGGAAACAATAAACACTAGCCCTACTGGAACTAGAATTGGCAGTCACAGCAGCAGTTTTAGTGGTACAAATATGCCATTTCCCTTTAAAAAGAAAAAAAAGAAGCCCAAGTAAGTGACTTTGACAGGGAACCTTCTCCTTTAGCTCAGTTTCTCAGTTACTTTCCCAGCCCAAGCATATGAAGTCTTTTCCAAATCAGCTGCTGTAACAAGGATTTCTAGATAGTGACAAGGAGGCAATCCTACACAAACAATTTTTAGGAGACTGAGAGTAACGTGAGGATGTTAGCTACTCTAATTTGGGGGAACGCTTTTATGTTACAAAGCTGTCGTAATCAAATGCAGACAAGCAGAACAGATCTGGGAACAGAGCTGTATCACGCTTAGAATAACTTAAGTCTCTAGCGATAGCCATTTTTTAATAACAAAAGCACTGAAGAAGCTACAGCTCAGATGGAACAAAACTTCTCACACTTCATTTGTTTTGCAGAATGATTTTGACTAAAAATACAATAAAAAAAGCAGTTAAAGTTTAATAGAGGGCATATCAGCTTGACATACATGAAAATAACTTACATAATTTAACTGATTTCCTTTACAGAAGGAAACTGTAATTGCATAGAGCACATCCTTTTCCTAAAAGCTATATACATTGACATATGGAAGAAGGCACAGAATTATTTCTGATAAACAAGTACCATTTAAAATCCCCAGTTGCTGTAGGTCCCCTTGCATTCCATGGACAGCTTCTATAATTGTTCATATCAGTCTAACGCTTGCGTTATTTTATGTTAACATGGTCACACCAGTATGTTGATCCCATTATGCACAGTAAGCAATTGGTCTCTAGCTAGTCAGAATTCCTAAGGAACTGATCAAAGTTTAATAGCTGCAATTACCACTTGGGGCCCAAAGAAGGGCTGCTTTCATGCTGGGGGTGGGGGCAGGGAAAAGAAATGAAGGCAACATCTAAACAAAAGGTAAGTGCAGCATCACAGGCCTTAAAAACAGGACTTGCACTGAATTGTGTTCAGAGCCATTTAAATGGCAGTCTTTTAATCATTTTAATGAAGATAAATGAAACAAAGCCCTTTATATAAACAGTTTATTTACTCTAAACAGCAACACAGACAGAACGCCATATAAACACAAAGGAAGTGATGCAGAATAAGGATGCTGGCTGACTTTGGATCTCAGAGGCTCTTAAGCAATAACAACCTAGTTTCTGAAAGATAGAAAAACAAATTCAGGGAGGGAAGGGGGTGGAGGGCATGATTTTTTTTTTTTCATACAGCCAGCTAGAGGCTAAATATAGTTCTAACATTTTAAAGCATGCCTGCATCAGATAGCAAAGTAACTAGAGATACTAGTGAATTTATAGAAGTATAAAAGTTTATAATTTTACAGCAGTTGAAATACTGACATCAATATTAAAATAAAAGCAAGTTTTACATAACAATCAAAAATACAAAAGACTGAAGGAAGAGACCCTGTATGAAAAAACTGGGGGCAATTCAGCAAATTTAGAACTGTATACAAGTGGCGAATATGGAAAATGGCACACATACAACCCCCTCCCCTAAGTGGATATTAATTGTACATAGCAACATTAGATTTTGCAAAAGTTTTGTAAACAAGTTCTTGCCAACCAATCCCTTCCTTTTTAAGATGCTGCATGACAGATGCTTATGATGGTGCAAACTTCTTGGCTTGTGCTCGAACCCTCTTTTCGTATTCCACTCTGTTTTGGCTGAATAGAGGAGAGAGAAAGGGTAATTACAGCTTGAGAAATCAGAGGCCATATTATAGAGTTATTCTTCTATTTCTCTTCAATATGAAACTAAGTCATTGCTGAAGGCAAAACCGTTAGATAGGAATTCACCAAACACTACAATTTATTACAGGCTTTTCTGGACCATTACTCTGATAATTTCCTTTGGAGGGAAGTAAGGTACTGTTTAACTAGTTTCTTTCCAAACTTCATCTGCTGTCAAATGATTGTACTGTCTGACTTCATACCATACCAGTCTCTATAAACAGGTTTGCGCCTGCTTTTTTTCAAGGCCAGCTGTACCTTACGTGCAAGCATTCTTGCTCATCAGAACACAAGTTTTCCACTCCCCATGTTAAGACCTGAGGTCATTAACAATAAATTCCAGTATCCTAACAGCACAAAGTGGTTGATGAGAGCAGTTCGCTAACAGCTGGTGAACTTCATATGATTTTTGAAGTGTCATCTTTACTGCTTTGAGGAGAGAGGGCAAGTGCTCTTTTAAGAAATGGGAAAATGGTAACAGTATGGTAGTTTCAGCCTTTATCTCTGCAGACCCTGACTTACAGCATTAGGTTTATCCTAACCTCAGTTGGAAAAAAAAAGCTAGCTCAACATTTTGAAAAAAAAAAAACCAACCTACAGTTCACTAAGTCTAGCATACTTGCTACAGATTAATTAAACAAGCAAGTACTACTTCAGGGAACTATGACCAGTCATTAAGCCTCAGACTCGACACATAAAAGGGCAAGTTCTTTGTTTTCTATTCTTGGGCCAACAAGGGATGGTAGTAGCTTAGTAGAGCATCCATTTACATTCAACGCCATATTTTGTATTAGCTGTCAGAAGTGTCAGTCAAGAGCTAAACAAAAATTTGTTACCATTACTCTTGTGCCAAAGGTAGTTTACAGTGACTAGATTTTGCAGACAGCTTTGCAGTAAACTTAACTTACTTTCAGCTATGAAGGCTTGCTGCAGTAAAAAAAAAAAAAAAAAAAAAGGCAGCAAATTATATCCTCAGAAGTTGACAGTTCGGGGGGGGAGAAGAAATGAAGCCAATTTTGGTCACATCCAATGAACAATTACCAGCAAGCAGACCGAAAATACTCTAGTTTCTTCTCAAACAAATTTACAAACTTTATTCTAAAATTTTTCTTTAAGTTATATTGCATTGTCACATGAGAACACAACCTAGCTCTTAAGTCTCACACCCTCAGAATCCACACAAAAGAATGCCTGCCATAGTAGACTCTGCATGCCTACAGCAGAGAGGAGGAAGTAGGTTAGCACATTCGGAGTGCTAAAGTTAGACTGACAGTACCAAAGCAATCCTGAGAATGTGAACAAGTATTCTTATTTTGAATACAAAGTTTATTCTTGAATTTTAACAATTTGACTACAAGACATCTATTTAAATAACACTGCATCTTCCCCAGTATTTATCAACTATGCCAAATTACAGATGCATACATAATCCTGCTCTGTTGAACTTCTTCTACCAGTTACTCATTAAGCAGTAAGAGAGACACACTCTCAGACTGCAGAAATATAGTAACCCATCTGGAATACTATGCATGTCCAAAAGACATGAAGAATAAATGGGAGACTACATATCTGAAGTAACAAAAAATGTGTAATAGTTTATTCTTAATAGATTTTTTTTTTCTAGAAGCACTTACAATAAAGCAGAAACAAGAGTAGCAAAGACTGGTTTTGTACATATATGTGTGTGGGAGGTGATAAATAAAACACACAGACTATTTATACATGTATGAAAGAATACTATTCCTGCCCTATATTCCCTCAGAGTGGCTTTTAATAAAAAGTAAAAATAAAAATGGGGGGAGGCCTGCCTCATCATTACTGACTCCCAAAGGTGCTGCCTACAACTGTGGCGATCTAACTGTCCTCCATACGCACACAGTCCCACCAAGTCTTCTGTAGATACTTAAAAAAAAAATAGAGTGAAGCCCTTAATTAAATCCAAGATGCACTACCCATCCCTATGTTTCCTTTTCACTAGGATCTTATAATAGACTTTCTTGACATAGCTTGCATGTAAAGTCTCAAAATGCCATTTTTCAAACTTGGCACTCTCCTGGAGACTTGTTCTTCTATCCAGAATGGTAATTCTACATTTCCACCTTGGTCATTTCAGTAGCTGTCAGTGCCAACAGCATTTGTTTAAAGTGTTTTGCTCCCCTAAAGATTATAGATTTTACAATCCATTTTTAATGCTGGGAAAAATTTAAGATTAAGCAAAAAAAAAAAAAAAAAAGAAGTACTTTTTAGCTCATAAATTATCACCTTTCCTAACCAATGCAAACTTCATTCTGCTAAAGCTACAAGCTTTCTGTACTTTTTAAGCTATTCTTTTCGAAGATCCAGTTTCCACACAAGTGCTTATAGGTACCCACTACTGGACAGAAGTAAGTTACTCCTATACTGATGAATGGGACTTGTTACCTAATTCAGTCTCCTCTATCACTGTCTCATGAAGTCATTATGCCTCATCACTACTACTCAGCCTTTAGGGGAAAGGATTCTATGTTGGGCTAGTACCAGGATGAGAATCATGGTCTAACTGAAGGAGTCTTCACACTTTATTGCTGTTGCAATGCTATTAAAAGCTCCACTAGCCTATTAACCCTGAAGTTACTGCTCAAGTTTAGCACAACCTAGGCATCTCTACATGATACAGCCATGAAGGTAGGAAAATTCACCATATCATTCCTAAAAACATTTGCATGTTATAGCATTAACAGACAGCTGTAGGCAATACAACAGCTTTCAAGCTGATACGCAGATACTTACCAGTAAATTGTGTAAGCCTCTGCTTGAGCTGGGTCTTGAATATTTGGTTCATTTAGAAGTTCTTGTATTCCTAACAAGATCTGTAGAAGAATGAATAGAAGTAACATAGGCACAGATATTACTGAGACATTAAATTAAAAAACCCGTAGAAACACACAGTGAACATCTTATATTCACATCAGATAAGCAAGCAAAGCAAATAAAAGGGCTAAGAATAAGTCTAAGTACAATTAATGACCTGTTTAATTGTGATTGCTGGCCTCCAGTCCTTATCCTCCTCTAAGATGGAGAGACACACTGTGCCTGAAGGATACACGTTTGGATGGAATAATGGTGGTTCAAATTTACCTGAGGAAGAAGAGAGAATTACTTGCATGCAGCACTAAGACTAAGATCAGAGAGTTGGTTTAGATTAGTGGGGACAAAAAAAAAAGAAAAAAAAAGAAAAAAAAAGGCTAAAGACCCCCCGCCCCCCCCCCAAAAAAACCCCAACAAAAACCTGCACAGATTTCTGGAGCTATTAATACTGGTTTTCTTCTTGGCTCAGCCTGCACCTAAAGCAGGAACTCCATCACATCTGTGCTATCCATCCAGGCAACGTAACACTATCATTGTGACCAGAAATCTTTTGGTATAGGAATGGAAACTGACAAAATAGTTTGTAGTAGCTTTGTGGTAAAGACCTTTTTAAACCAATCCTGTCTTTACAGACTCACATACTACTATATAAGGGAAAGGTACTGCCCTTCACTCTTCTCTCTTCACTTTAAAATACTGAAAGTTCCATACAAAGAAGAGTAAGTTTCTAGCATTTTCTTCAGTTTCACTTTTCCTTTATGTATAATCAAGATGCACTGAACAAGAGGAATCAAGTTTAAGTTGCAAGACTGACTGAAGGAGTAGGCTTGTGCAGCTCTCCCTCTGCCACAATCTATATTCTGGCATTTCTTTAATCTTTACAGGACTTAAATGCAACAGCCACCATCTTGAGTAATGTAATGAACACTTGTTTAGCGCTATGAAATATCTACATGTTAGTGCAGTTTTCAAATCCATCTGACATCACAAGTAAGTCTTGCTTATGAGCTGCTCAGTGAAGTTCAGTAGGAACTCAGAAGCTGCATTGGTAAGAAGTCTTACCAGTCACATATACATCTTATTTAAGGCATGAGAGTTCATTTAACACTTGCAGATGTGCTAGTTGGTATATCTCAAGATACTGTTGTTAAATATTTTCTAGTTAAAAGATATGTTTCCCCTTGTGTCACATGTATTTAGGTGGTAACAAATACCACCTAACAAAAGGAGTAGCCAAGACAACTGATACAGCCGAAACACCAAAATGAAATGAGAAATGAACCGCTGTCAAAAGAGCCATTTGTAATCAGTCATTGATTTGAGTTGGTAGCCAATTCAAAAACCAGGAAACTAGGCAAGGCAATAGATATTTTCAGATTTCTAAAGTAGGTAAGTTGAAATGGGATAAGGAAAATTCAAAAACTTAGCAAGGAAACTAGGTATCTGAAGATATCTGTTGTACGGAGTATCAGGAAAAGAACAGATCCATGTTTTAGAGCAAGTCAATTAAAAGGTTAAAGTTGATGGAACTTTTTGGGTTTTAATTATTTTTTCTAAGTTCTTGCCTTAGAAGACCAACTTAACAGTAAGAACACACAAAGGGATTTGGTCTAACCATGCCTACCTATTAGTTTCCTAAGAGTGCTGATCAAGTAGCAGACCCTTCAAGCACTGCTTCTGTCAAACTTTGAGGAAACCCATACAGCAATCCCCCTCTCCTCCCAATTTTGTTCTATTGAGCACTTAACTCATTTCATCACAACTTTCTAAATGCAAAGTGGTGGGCGGGGAAAAAAAAAAATCTGTAAGAACAGTAATTCATAGAACCTCATGGACTAGTTTAACATTTTTCTAATAAACCCATGTTTTTTAGTCATTTTACTTACATTTTGGGGGTGAAGAAGGGTAGTCATCCTTGAAAAGCATCCGTAGTTTAAATAAGCCTCCTTCCCATGGTGTCTATAAAAAGTTAAGGTAAAGTTTAGACTACAGCAAGGAAAAGTCAAACTTGTGGAAAACAGCTTATCAAGAATACAGTTTCTCAGGCAAAGCACAAGACATCCTTCTGCTACACAGCAGAAAACAGCTGTCCTACGCTGTAGCATGCTGTCTAGACTGAGACAAGTTATCCCACTTATATAAGGAGTTGAAGAAAGGAAACCCTGCTTTTCCACTTCATTACAGCTAGTAAGTGTTGCTGAGTCATCAATAGTTGGGATCATTGCCAACAGTTCCATATACAAGTTTTCATAGTACACAGAAGAACAGAATACTTCAAGTTTTACATGATACACATGCAATGAGGAAGGGGCCATTACAGCCCCACTTAAAGTAAGTCTGAGAAGATAAGATATGGATACACCCCTTAAGCACGTGGATGTAAATGGCTTCTATTTTGCCTCATGAGAACGTGGCTAAGAAAACCACAAGTGAACAAAAAATTTGCACAGCACTGTAGTACTGCTACAGTTAATGAGGTTCACTAAACTAACGCTGTCTGGATTTGGTAGCAGGTAGTCTCACACATTCCATCTTTTTGTGTAACAAATTCTAAGATGCTTTTTATCCCCATCAGAAACTGGGAAGAGCACTGATAAGAGCAGCTCCCATGCTACACAGCAGACCAAATAAGACAGCACTACTCAGAAGGGTCATATAAACACAGGAAAACATCTAGCAAAGCACAAAAAGCCTGTCTCAAATATATACTTCCTTGTCATCTTACTTGGAAATAAGGAAAAAAGCCCATCTTCTGACAAACTGATTTCTGGCAAGTGTAGAAATACAGAAAAGTTTATTATATATGTAAAATTCAGACCACTTCTCTAACTTGCCCTTGCTATGGAAACACTGCAATGAAAATAAGTGTTGGGTTCATTCTTTAAAACAAACTGGAGTAAAGATGGTCTCACACCTTATCGACATAAATATTATCCTCAGGGACAGACAGGTACGTTTGAAGACCACTTTAGGAGGAAATCCCTAACTCTTTCCTACCTGAATTATGTGATTTTTTTTTAGCAGAAGGAAAAAGAAAAAAAGGGAAAAAACCACCAAAAAACCCGACCCCAAAAAAGCAGCAGCACTCCATTGTCGTTGGTATTTATTGTGCAAAGTGTCAAGCTAGAATAGGAAAAAAAATGTGCTACTGAATACCAAGATAACGTTGTTTTAAAAAGCAAATTAGTTTCATTACATTTGCTATAGTGCACTTAAAGAACTTCTTCTGAACAGCTGTAGTCAGTTGTCAACAACTAGTAATATCTATTCTCCATACCTTCTCAGAAGAGACGTGTCCATTTTTAGAAGAGAGGAGCCTTTTGACAGAATAAACTTTTCCTATTTTGTTTGCTTCCAGTCATAGGTGAAGACAAACAGCTTTTAATAATTTCTTCGAGTAGAACACCAGAACAATCAACAAAAAGTTTTTACTGTCTTTCTGATAGAGCAACATACCTTATGGATCAAAGACAGCAGACACTCAAAAGACTTACTAAGATAATAGTTTGACAGCAGTATCATCAAGATTGTATTGCGTTACTGGATGGGTTGCAGATATTGAGTCAAATTCTAGGTAGTTAATAAGTGATTTGCTGTCAAAAAAGTGAATGGAGATATCCAACCCAGGACTAACACCACACGTTACTTCAATTTTGGATCTGGCTGACAAGAAAGCATTTTGGTGTTTTCAACTACTCATCTGTTTTACAGGAAGCAGCTGCAGTACAGCATGCCTCCAAACACAAAGGCAATAGAGGGCAACTGGTTGGTCGGGTAGACACGAGCCAGACATGCTGCTTCTTGTTAAAGACACAGCATTTTTACTAGAGTAAAAACCCTGATTTTTTAGATAAATCTCTACCAGGAATCACATGAGCATAACTGATCTTTTCCTGGTGTGATAAGTTTTCTAGGAGGCAAGAAGCTGGCTTTAAGTGTCTTGTTTGCTTGATTTTGTGGTTTACAAAACTTTAAAGCAGTAACATGAAGATTTTGTATGGCCTGAAGATTTTACGTTTAAAGGTGACATCTTGAAATGGTACATAACTGGCTATTACGAGGGATAATCTTATTTTGGCAGAACACGAGGGGATGAGTTTTCCCTTACACAGTTAAATTATTTTTAGGTGCTTCTTTAAGAACTACCTTGAGCTGTGCAGACAACTACTAAAATACTGAGCTAAGTTATAACCGTAACAGCAATGCCATATTCAGTGTTAAACTGAGGTAGTAGTACAGAATCTGCAGGTTTTGCCTACACACCTTGTCTTCTCAGAATCTAAGAAACGAGACCTTAACGGGACTTAAGCACATTGGCAAGAGGCAGTAGAACAGGCAAAGCAACAAAAGAAGTCCCACATCCAATGCAAAATGCTGAAGACCCAAAAGAATGAAAACCATCAAGTAATTAATAGTAGTATCTCAGAAGAAACAATGGCATCCAATAGATTCAAGAATAATCTCTACATGCTAAGTATCATCTTGAAAAATAGAAAGAAGAGTCTGCTCAGAATGAGGTGTTATAATGGCAGTGTACAAAATCAAAGTTTCATGCATTAATGATTATTTCCACTTGAAAATTTGCATTTGTCCTGTCCCCTGGAACCAGAGCAAGCTGATAAAAATAAACAATTCTGGTCTCTACAGACTTTTTCCTTTCCCTTGTTATTTTAAGGAAAGGGACACAGAAGCACAAGTAAAATCAGATAAAAAGAAACAAGGTTAGAGAGTTCTATTCTTCTTTCCCTAATACAAAAAGGGAAAATTCCATAAAATGGAAGGCAATGAGATTCCATGTTGATAGCATAGAATTTTTTTCCATTAAATCCAAAACCTTAAAACCAGTGCTACAGCACTTCTCTAGGACTGCAGGGTCTCACTATTTAGTGGGGAAAAAAAGGTACTGGCAGTTAACCAGCAGAGGCAACATTTTGGTAGTATTCATTTTCAAGCTTTAGGGCTTAAGCCAGCATTTAGTAAGAACAAAAGTCACAATAAACCCTGGCATAAAGTAGAAGACAATCTCAAGTCTGCTCAATGCAGGATTCTCACATACTCCTCTGAAAACTTTTATTCTTTAGGTGGTCAGTGACAACAGCTGAACAGGCTCATGGTATATTTTGTCCAGTATCATTCCTAGCCCACTCCACCTAGATTCTGAAGTAGCAGCAGGATCCAAGCATTTCTATTAAAGTACATATAAGTCATACTCTCAGTTGTCAGTGTAATGCATGTGCAGGTTTATGTTACTTTTCACCATAAGTGAGATGTTAGGACAACAGTAAGTCTTACCCCTTTCTTTCCCGGAATAGCACACTCCCAGTTCATTAGATTCATTGTGCCATCTGGATTTTTTGTAGGTACTGCTACAAATCCCTGAATTAAGGCAAAAAGCCAAAGAGTAAGGATTTCAGAAGATGTACTTAGAATTCTTCATGACATACTTTATCTTTACACAGAGTTATCTCTTTTTATACTACATAATTTTAAGCAGCTTTTTTATTTAAAAAATTAATTTAATTAAAAAAAAAAAATCACATCAGGGTAAAGAAAAAAAAATCATCATCAGAACACCAAAATAACTGCAATCAGAAATTTGACAGTTCTCATACTTACAAATGGATGATCTTTTCTCCAGGCTTTTCTCTCCTGTGCAAGTCTACTAAGAGCTATGCCAGACATATTCAGAATCCCTCTAAAACAAAAATAATTGCTTTTAGTATAAACTTTTACTTACAGTGTAAACAACACATTATATTATCTGTTCATAAGCCCTGCTTACTCAGGAAATATTCTGGCCTCTGATTTTCACTACTATAGCCAAGACACACATTTTTGCACACCCTGCAGAAGTTAACATTCAGAAATAACATCAAGTTTGCCCTTGTCAACAACCTCTTAGTTATGGGACTTGACCTACAAAATACTATCCCCAACTTGTGTTTTATATCTGAACCACATCTTAGAAACAACTTTGACAGCAGCTTGACAACTGAAACGCTATTAGTAATGGGAAAAGTACGCATGGTACTTCCTACTTGTGCAACTGATAAACATACATCAATCTCCTTACTACAACACAAAAGGTATGGCTTTCTTCTGTAGGCAAACACCTGTACTGCTCCTGTTTCTGGCAAACAGGGGAATAAGAATGTTATTTTCAGACTGTAACTTCCCATTGAAAGCCAGTATTCTACACAAAAGCAACACAGGTGCAGAACTTAACAAAATCACCTCAGTTTTGCAGTGATGCCACTATACAACTTCTAGACAGCAGAAGGAACAGACAGGAATACAGAACTGAGTGAAGGAAGAGCCACTGGCCCGCTCATTCCACAAGACAGGTTTTCAATTCCGCTATAAGCAGAATGATCTTTCTGCACCTTCACTGCCTTAGTAACAGCCAAGCCTGGTGTCTGAGACTGCAGAAGAAACACGTACAGCACAGGCCACTACTGTGCATGATGCAAGAACAGTTCTAGACGCAACAGTTGCCAACAAAATGGTGCTTTGAAATTCAGAGGAGGATTCTCCATTCACCCAGAACAGCAGTCAAAGGGAGAGTTTATTTTTCATTGTCAAACTGTATCTAAACTCAGGGCTTCATTAGCCACATGGTCAAAACAAACTCCAGTGAAGGTTTTTAATCCTCTTCCCTACTGCATTTATACCCATTTTAAATAAGAGCTGATACTTGGCAGTTGGGGAAGTCAGGCCAATTTGTTCTCAACTCCACACATAACCAACAAGCCTTTATGACAGCCAGGAGAGTAGAATTCTTCCACTAAACAAGGTCACAGAATTAATGAAAGGAGTGTTACCACTCTATTAAAACAAACACTTAAACACTGGTTAAGAACTATGCAAATTCACATTCTATTAATATGTAGGTTACTTGTAAGAATATTGCAGTCTACTACTATAACCATAGGAATTGTAGCTCACAAAGATGCTTGTTTTAAAAATTTCACACATTCACGCTATGCCCTTTAGCATGATGTTCATGCTGAAAATATGTACCAGGAACTGACCTATTCCATGTAGGATATGTAGAAATGTTCATCTCATGTTCATCTGTTATACCCTTTAAAGATTAGAAGACAGCATGCTTCCAATTTAAATATTTACACATCAAAGTGGCTTAGCAGTGCAGACACCTTAACTAGAAGTCTTTAAAAGCACCAGATTAAGAATTTTATGCAGTTCCTAGGACAGCTAGTATTTCAAATCCCTCCTTCTAGCATTTTTTCAAAATCAGTTTTGCATGGATGGCCGTAATCCATAATTTCAACTCCAAACTAGCAATTAAATTCATGTCAGATCAAGCTTCTTAAATCACAGAATCACAGAATGGTTTGGGTTGGAAGGGACCTTATAGATCATCTAGTTCCAACCACCCTGCCATGGGTAGGGACACCTTCTACTAGACCAGGTTGCTCAAAGCCCCATGCAACCTGGCCTTGAACACTTCCAGGGATGGGGCAATCCACAACTTCTCTGGGCAACCTGTTCCAGTGTCACACCACCCTCGCAGTAAAGAACTTCTTCCTTACATCTAATCTAAATCTACCCTCTTTCAGTTTAAAGCTATTACCCCTTGTCCTACCACTACATGCCCTTGTAAAAAGTCCTTCCCCACCTTTCCTGTAGGCCCCCTTTAGGTACTGGAAGGCTGCTATAAGGTCTCACTGGAGCCTTCTCTTCTCCAGGCTAAACAACCCCCACTCTCTCAGCCTTTCCTCATAGGGGAGGTGCTCCAGCCCCCTGATCATCTTTGCAGCCTCCTCTGGACCCGCTCCAACAGGTCCATATCCTTCTTATGCTGGGGGCCCCAGAGCTGAATGCAGTACTCCAGGTGGGGTCTCACAAGAGCAGAGTAGAGGGACCATTAACACTCAGTAAACACACACACACAAAGGCTATATTCAGTCCAATATTCCTCTAGTATTCCCAACACATCCGTCCTTCTTGGTTGTATGTCTGAAGATTTGAAGGACTTAGTCTACACAAACTGTACATACCACTTCAGATCTACCACATGCAGGAGATGTGGAGCTACTGAAAAGATACCGTCAGAACAAAAAGACTCTCCCTTAACCAAATTATACAGGGAGTAATTTTAAATATTTTGTGAGCCCATGCCCTTGCAACAGATGTAAATGAGCTACTGAATATATGGCAGAATTTCAGTTGTGCTGTTAGTAGCTGGTGGTCCACTGTAATAATACCAACCTTCCCATAATAGTTTGAGAAAATTTTTTGTGCTTATAAACCACTCAAATATTCTTAGGTAGTTTAGCAACTCAGCTACCTTTTCTGCCAAGAAACATATTACAGGATACTTTCAAACACATGAATTATATTTCCTGTGGCTAACAGCCAATTAATTACATGCACCTCAAGGGAAATGCCAACTTCTCAGAGGGCATATAAATGACATATGTCCTACAAAACATCACCAATCAAATAACTTTCCAACAGAAAACCCCCAAGTTTTCAGGCTCTGTATCCTGATTGCTTTTGCAACTGGTTATGCACTATACTGTGCCCCAGTAAATTAAAGATTTTCTTATGTTTTATAAATACCTTTTCAAATCTTGAGGCACTTGACTTAGTTAAGCACTGACAGGCTACATCCAAAATTTCAGCATATATGAGAGACCACAGGCTTCAGTTACCCTGATGAGTGCAGACAAGCATCTAAAACCTCATCACAAACTACTACCAAGTAGAGATTAGCGACAAAGAAGACTGAAAGCCCGTTTCAAAAATTAAGATCCTGTTAGGTAAGCATCCCCTCAAAAGTAAGTCAATCTATTGACAAATTACCAATATATACTCTCTAGCAGCTCTTCAGTACAAGAACTTAACTTTAGTCCTGCTGGAGCTTGAGATAGGACAGAGATTGATCACCTCAGTATATATTTTGATCTCAAAAATTATGGAATAGCAGGAAGGAGTGAGATACTAAGTGGGTATTAAACCTGAAGATGCGATATTCTCACTGCTACTTTTATATTCTTCAATAATTTATGTGCATGGTTTGTTTGGTTGCTGGGTTTTTCTTCCTCTCTCCTTTGGAATAGTAGTTTGCCCAGATATCTATAAGTTAAGTTTAGCTCTTGTAAGCTTTTGAAATACCTCACAAGTGCAAGATATGTCTATTGACCTGAAATAGTTAAATTAAAAAAAAAAACCAAAACCCCAAACCAAAAAAACCCACAAACACCACAGACACCACCAAAACCACATACAAAACAAAAAAACCCCAAACACCCCAGTTCTTAGGATTTATTTTTTTTAAATATCACAACTAATTTGTTTTCTTCACCTGAGAAATTTACTGCTGATTAACAGAATCTAAGTCCTAACACATTTACGTGCTACATCACTGGAAAGAACACAAACTTTCACACCAGAGGAAGTATATCAACCCTACCTTGCAGGGGCCACACAACTGTACTTAAGAGACCAGTCTTCACGTTGTGTTTGGGATTAATTCCCCCAAGCACACTCTGGCATTAAGAGGTAGCAATGCCCCTTTTACTGCTATCAACTCATTAGAAAATTAACAGAAACTTCCAAATTTACTCAGCAGTTTGCCTCTGCCGCTGTTACTACTACCTATTTTGGAAAAAAGGACAAAGCAAATCCAACACACTCATCACAGGCGCAAACTTTGTGTTCCATTACAAATCATCTTACCCATCTATACCCTCTGATGGCGGGGGGAGGATAGAACCTACTGCCAAACACAAAATGCAAGTCTTGCAAAGAAGCGTTCACATGCCACCGGAACGGCAATTGCACCCACAGTTCTGACCCATGACAAGTCTCTAAATACATTAACAACATGCTCTTTAAGTCTGAAGAACTTTCAACAGCTCTTATTAATTCCAAACAGGAAAGAAAAAAAAAAAACCCAAAAGAAAAAACCCGTTAAGATTACTAGCCTCACATTTTTACTTTGCAGGTTAAATACTGACAGAGGAAGACATTATCAATCGGCGTAGTGTGCCCCAAAACTATACAAACTTTACTTTTCGGAAGGGTGGAGAAAGCCAAGAGCTGAGGTTTAATCAGAGCAGGCTAAGTCCCGACCGGAACAGAAAGTCTCCTCCTGCCTGGGGCACGGAAAAGGTGGAAGAGGCGGCACTAAGCCGAACGGCTACCAGAGTCGCGAGGAGAACAACAAAAGGAGCCGCGCGGCAACAGCTCTCGATGCCCGACCGGCCGAGTAGCTTCGCCCGGAGCAGCCGCGGCAGGGCCCAGCACCGCCCGCCTCCGCCGAAGGCCGCTGCTCTCGCGGGCCCTGCGCGGGGGCCGGGTCAGCCTCCGAGGCCTGCACAGGGCACCCCGGCGCCCGCCCGCCGGCTCCCGGGCAAGCACCCCTCGGGGCGGGGACCGCTTCGCGCAGAGCCCGGCAGTGCCCGGACCTCCTCGGTGAACTCGGCCCGCGGCGAACCGGGACCTCCGGGGGCGGGCCGCAGGAGACGCGGAGCCCGCCT